ATTAATGCTAGATAATTCATTGAATTTGATAAGAGACATATCATAATAATCATTCAAATGAAGAGACTCGTGTTGAAATTGTATTACGAATAAATTCAACATTGTGTAATCAAGTATCTACAGGCAAAAGTTTTAATTAATATAATATAATACAATATAATAATTGTTATCAATGTCATATAATTCTTTTTATCCTTAAACAATATACTAAGAAGTATAATAAAAATTTAAATAAAATACATAGAATTGAACAGGTCTTTGTCATTGTTTAAATCATCAAGAAATTAATTTTTATGATATAAATATTAGTGAATTTCTTTTATATTTTATACATGTAAAAATTTGGAAAATTTGATTTATCAATATTCGCTAATTTTAAATCATAAAATTAATATTTAATCATTATAGGCTTTTTAAATATTTGCAATATTAATGTTTTAATTCCAATAATGAGACTATCTAACAATCTGTAATCTGTAATTTATAACAAAAGCAACCTCGTCAACAATTTTCATTCCTAAAAAGGTGGCAACCCTCGTTTATTCATAAATACGGTCCTCAAGATTGTCCGATCATGTTGCCAAAGAATTGATATAATTTTCGTGCTACTGTGAATGCCACAGTCATTTGTTGTGCTTCGCTAAAAAAATCTATATCGTAAAGAACAGCTACCTCAGTAAAATATAATTTAATTATGAATGTCTTTGTATATTAAACCTACGAACTTTAATCTTTATCATCTAAATTTTCAGCTTTCACTATTTTGAGCTATCAATAATTTAAGCTGTATAATTTTGAGCTTAAATTTTCTTAGATATTGACATAAACTAATTATATAGTTTTTATTGTTAGTAAGTTTATTATAAGTTTCTAGTTTTACACACAGTACTTATAAAGAATGAGTTCCTGTGCTTCCACACCTTTATCTCGAAAATTTGGTACTACGATAATCTTCATATTTGTGGAAATAGCGTTTTAGATATGTTTTATTGTAAGTATTCTATGGAAGCTTTAATCATCCACTGAAAGAAGTCTAAACTCAAGTCGTCTTCACTCCAAATTTGGATGTTCACCTTGACTGGCATGTTGTTATCGTTAAATTTATAATTAAAACAAGCGGTATTAGAGGTACTAATACGGTCGAATTTGTGCAATACGATCTCGCTACGAGATAAGGGGAGATATTAACAGTATTGTATTTTATAAAGGTTTTGTTTTCATCTCAAGTAGTTTTTTTGGAAATCTTTATATTTGTTACAATTTTATAATCTGAACAATGCTGTATAGAGATAGAAAAATCATTTCTATCCGACTTGTCCCAGTATGGAAATGCCAGAGAGGTATAGAAATGCACCTGTTCCATGCAGATCGAGTGCTGCGATATTTTAAAAATACCACCTGTGACATTTTAAAAATAAATTTTTAAATTTAAATTATTACTAATATATAGTAAATGTTAGAGATTATTATAATGCTACTTATGACTTCAAAAATAACATTTCTTATATCTCCTATTTTATTGTATTAACATACATTATACATTTATTGCATTAAACATACATTTTCTAGACAAAACATACTTTTATAACATAAAGTATTGTAATTTACATGTTTTTCGATTTATATATATCAATATGTTTATTACATTTAAATCATTACATTTAACTAAATTGAAATCAAATATATAAACAAATAAAAAGGAAGTAAGATTTATATCTTGTAATAATATTTTAGTCTGTAACATATTTAAATTTATTACATTTGTAAAGTGCTCACACTGTATCAGTTGAATTTGGTTTCCAATAGTTTGCGTAATCATAATTCCAACAAAATTTATTATCAGACAGTAGATATTAGATAGTAAAAATTCGTGATCAAAGTTAATGACATCTGTTTGCATTTTATTATCATATGTATACATTACCGGTTTTATCATTTTACGATCTATCGAGTCAAAACTTTGGTTCCTATTTCGTCTATTTTCAGATTTAACACATTCAAACGTATTAAGTTTATTTTATTAGAAATTTGAAAATATGACGTAAGATTACCATGAAAAAGGGTATTGCCTTTTGCTCGTTGTTCGTTTATATATGGTCTAAATGTATTATATCATACATATTGAATTTTATTAAAGTTGAAATATCTTCAATGAATGGTATGAAGTGAATATAATTATCAAATGGTTTTATTAATTGCTCATCTGCATACACATTATTTTTTGTATTATTGTCAACAGCAGTTTAGAGTGACAAATATTAGATTAATACTTAGTAATGTTAATAATTCCATGATGATTGTCATTTCACATATCTATAATAATGTTCTTTCATCATAGAAAAAAAAATTGACAAAATATAATGCGGAGACTTTATTAATACCAATAATAAAAATTTAAAATTATCTTATCGATTAAAATCCATTTTTTTCACATTAGTCAAACATTGATACATTATTCAAACACAAATAAATTGTTATTCTATCTGTTATAAAGTATAATTGCGTTGCAATTTTATAAAAATTTTATTTTTATAGACTTTATTTTTATTTATTTTCATAAAAACTTACAGAGCAACTAATATCTGCATAGCAATGAAATTCTTTTTTCTTATTCTTTTTTATAAAAAATTCTATTACCATTACCATGTTTACTTAAATTTTAAAAAATTATTTATTCCTTTTTTTTTCTTGAAATAAATATACAAAAAAACAATTAGTAAACAAATTCCATATTTTTTACAAGTGATGCTTATACTTAAAGACAAACGCTATTGAATTTACATATAAAATAAAAAAAAAATGTTAAAAACATTAACATCTAGCATTGGTAACAATTGTTTATGTTCCATTTTCCGTGTTTTAAAAAATATATTATTAATTCAAAATTATTAATGTCAGTATATATATATATATATATATATAT